CAGCCTATCATAGAAACAATTTAAACAGCTAATGGAACCGGGCCGAACCTCTTTCGATCTCATACAGGGGGCACCGTGACTCATGCTCCTCATTTCTGATTAGAGCTCCTCGGGCTTCAAGCGCTCTGCACCAGACAGGGGATGGACCCAGCTAGTTATTTTATTAAACATATCTTTCAGGCGGACGTGTGCAACAGACTGAGTGCACACAGTTTGTTTACGTATGATCGCTTAGAGAGATTAAAAACAGGAAGGACAGTCACGGCCTGTGCAGGAGGAAGGGAGTTGGCGAGGGGGGTCAGTGTGCAGGTGGAGGTGGGGTCCGGCAACGGGTGACTAAGGGGCGATTAGGGATTTTTGCCTGAGCATGTCCCTGACCCAGTCAGAACAGGATGAGGGGGAAATAGGCAGAGGGGCAGCTGCAGAGAGACCCCAGCAATTGTTCCCTTTTCAGACCTTGTGTATGTTGACTGCAGAGAACACACATTTGATATGACAAATATATTGAATCATCTTTTTATATGTAAATATATTTAACATCATGTGGGATGAATGAAGTTGCAAGATTTTACAAAAGTGGGTGTTCACTAAAATGCCTCCTAATCAAACATTCTCAACAAAGAGATGGATTTAAAGTCCTTCATCAGTCTCTTCATCAATCATTCTTTCATTTCATGCAGTCTCAGTGGGATAATCATCTTTCCTACTTCCTTTGACCTCCGCTCGCTGATTGACAGCTATGTGGAAAAAAACAGAGGAACGCTTCCTTCCTCGTTGTGTTTGACCAGAACAATGCGAGTGTGGGTGTGTGATCTGATGAACCAGCAGCAGCAGCGCACCACCCTGCTCTACAGGGGTCTGTAGACCTGTTTCTCACAGCCTATAGCAGAGAAAATGAAATGTATGTAACTGTACATGTGAATAACATGTAGGGCTTCTGTCAGTAGTTGTTTACTTTATAGAATCGTGTGGGAATAGATGTGCCTGGAATAATTAGTTTGTTATTTGGTGTATTGGATAACGGTGAAAAGCACCTTCATGTTAAAGAGTTTAAATGACTCGTGAAATAATTATGAAATAGTTACTAAATATTTGTTGCAGCACTATAATCAACAAAAAAATGATTTAAGAAGACTGGGATCATCACCTCGTAAGATTGTACCAGCGATCCAGTCTTCTAGGTAAACCCAGTTCCTCATAACTTTTATCATTTTATGCCGACAAAACAGCAAAATGATGAAATTCCTCAGCCTCTGAAAGCTGCAAACATTTAAATATATGATAAACGTGCTGGATAGATTGCTTTCTGATTTATGATCTTCTACTATGCAAAACTGTTAATGTTAGAACAAATGTAATTATATGACTTTCAAGCAAAAAAAAAAAAAAAAGTCTTTTGTTTCAAGCTGAACGACTCCATCGGTGTGACTAATTGTCAGCATGGTTATCGTTTTGTTCCTTTGTGACTTCTCTGGCTTTCTTGTAACTACACTCGTATCTGAACACACCTGACGGGCTCATATTATATATGGTTTTTTTTACCGGGATTTAATAGTGTTGCCCAAATGATGTAATCAGTTTTACACCTACACCTATTAACCCCTTCAACGGTTACACCTTGCTCAAACTCCTTTTTTGCCTTCAGAACTGCCGTAATTCTTCATAGCACAGCTTCAACAAGGAGCTAGAAACATCCGCCACATCACAAAGGATCTTTACTGGATTGAGATCTGGTGACTGTGGATGCCATTTGAGTACAGTGAATAGTGTTGAGTACATGTTTAAGAAAGCAGTTTGAAATTATTTGAGCTTTGTAACATGATGTGAAATCCTGCTGGAAGCAGCAATCAGAAGATGGGTACACTGATGGTCATAGATGGATGGACATGGCTGTGGGGTTTCATCAAGCCTAATTACACTTAATTATCGTATTATACCACCAGCAGCAGCATGAAGGATTAATAGAAGGCAGGACAGATCCATGCTTTCTTTCCTCAATCTCAGATCCTACCATCGGGATGCTGAGGCAGAAATCAAGACTCAACAGACCAGGCAACATTTTTCCAGTCTTCCGTTTGAATTGTGGTCTCAGATTTCTGTTTTCAGCTGACAGGAGTGGCACCCGGTGTGATCAGCAGTTTCTGAAATACTCAGACCAACCATGCCACATTCAAAGTCCCTTTTCTTCTCAGTTCTGATGCTCAGTTTGCACTTCAGCAGGTCATCTTGTCCATGTCTTTATGTCTAAATGTATGGAGTTGTTGCCATGACATTCGCTGATTAGATATTTGCAGTTGAACAGGCGTACCTAACAAACTAGGATGAGTGTGAGTTTTTGCCAGCGTGAAAATCTTAGAAAAGTTTTGGAAGTTTTAATTCTCGCTCCTTTTGGACTGCCCTCTCAGCAGCCACAGTTGTTTAAGTTCAGTGTTGTGCTTTAAATGATGAGTTGATGTTTGCCTCTTGAAGTTCACTGATGAGATGTAAAAGCAGCCTCCTGAGAGGACACTAAGCTGTACTCATTACACCGAGGTTGAGTGCCTTAGACAATAGTGGATTAGAGCAGCAAGGTCTGTGCTGTAATTGTCTTGTTTCCTTTAAAAGCAGCAAAGGTATTGGTGAGGTATTAGCTTGTGGTATGACATTACATCATGGGGCTCGCTTTCCTTGATAAGAGTCACTGCATTTAGATCTCATAAGACAATCTTACAGGGGAAAAATCCTGTTGAAGCAGCGAAATTTCTGCATGTGGAGCTTTTTGTTGTATTGAGCCACGGGGTAGTGAGACTACATTAACATAAAAAAAAAAACTAAGAAAAGAAACGATAATACAAAAAAAAGAAATTATTTAGCTTAGAGGTGCAAAACTGGAAAGGTAGTGAAATAACCAATTTCATAAGAATCTGGATGAATCCCATTAATTAAACCTGTAGCTTTTATAAATCAGGGTTTTAGAGCATAATTAATCCAGTGATGAGAATTCTTTCATTTTACACATAAAAGGCCATAACAGGGAAATTTACTAATTTTAGCCAAGTGCAAATGTTAGGTGTACACTGCCATCTTCTGGTTGCTTTGAGTAAAACACAAAACAAACACGTGACATCTGAACACACAAATAACAAGCAGCCTGAGAAAGATTGACTCCAGTCTGTGCGTGAAGTCGTACCAACTTCTAACTGGAGTTTTAAATAAAATGAAATCAGCAGTCAACAGTTTCTAGTGGGTTCATGTTTATTAATAATTCTCAGTAATAAAAAGAAACAATTAATTACTAACATGGCTTAAAAGTTCTACAAAGGTAAAAGTGTACAAAATATTCTAAACATTAAGGAAACCTTCATTTTTCTTAAACTTAAATTAATGTTTTCAATTTGGCAGGTCATGCAGTAGAAGCTGACTGTAACAGCTTTTAATCCTCTGTAATTACAGCGTGTTGAACACGCTTTCGAAGGCTCATGAAAGTGCTCATTAACCATAAATTGAGCTATAATAGTGTATTGAAGTGAAAAGATGGGATTTTATGGAGAAGACGGCTAAAAAAAAAAAAAAACATAAATGAGGAAGAGAAAAGGTTTTGTAAAAAGTATTTTTAGAGAAGAAAGTATAAGTGGGAGAAGAGTCAGTTTCTGAATATGTAATAACTTACAACTTTTTTTGTCTTTCCTTTTTCTCACAGACTGATACTATAAACTAACTTCTTGGAAACGCTATGACAGAAATCCACTGTGGTCACACAGCTGCTAAAAGACACGAAAAAATGACTTTTCAAAATAAAAGCCAAGAGCTGTGTGTAAGTTCAAAAACAACCACGCCATGTTAAGGAAATGAAAATATAGCTTTAAGACTGATGACAATTTACCAAGGGATCCAATTTCTCCGATTCAGACCAAAATAGTGCTGACGGGCAGCCGTGCTCTGCTCTTCATCAAGAACAGAAGGAACCGAAGAACAATGGGACGTCTTAAAACAGGAACATGTGGGTGAAAGCTTTCCCATATAAAACGCTGACCGAGCTCTCAACATGCCACGATCACTATCTAAAGTCATATATACAGCTGTTTAAAAACAACAAAAAAGAACAGATAACATGAAAATACTAAAAAAGAACATAAAGAAATAAAATATTCACTCAACACGTCATACGCATACGTACTTCAAACAGAAAAGTTCATTTCGAAGAGCCGCTCGTTACGAATCATGCGTACCCGAAAGGAAGACAGACATGATTTAGAGATGATGGGTAGGCATGAGGTGGAGCCGGTGGTGGGTGTCAACAGAGGGCTACTGGGTACGAGGAGTTGACGACAGAAGCCAAAACCTCCACCGCAGCAGCCATGCCCTGCATCCATCCTCCACCCACTGCACCAAAAGTACCTTGAGAGGGTAGCATGCTCCGTCCCATTTTCCTCTCATCTCCGTGCCTTGAAGTCAGAATAACTGGCTCTCAGCTAACTCAATATCACTAAAGTGCTCTCTTTCTCTCACCAGTTAACCCTGTAGTGCCAGGTGTACATTTCATACATGAGTTTTTGAGACTTCTACATCATCAATGAATTGCACTTTTTTTTTTTTAAAGCAACAGAACATTTTTAAACATAAAAAATGGCTGTGGCAAATATGATACCAATTTAAATGCTTACACGCAAATTAATACTTCCTTTTTAAAAAATGCGTCTGAAGGTTCAATTAAGACACAATAAATGAAGAATTTTCTGGCAGTTTTCTTATGACTTTACAGGGTTAAGCGCATCACTGAGGTCAGCCACGGGGACACAAAAAAAAAAGAAAAAAGACGACAACATACAAATGAACACTTGCATAGTATCAAACGCCAGAAGCTTCCATCAAAAATAAAAACAAATAAAATGAGGAAAATTAAGTAACTTTTCAACTTAGGGTCCACAAATATATCACACTTGAGAAGTGTGTGTGTGTGTGTGTTTGTGT